GTTTTGTTGTGAAAAAAAAAAATCGGAGATCTTGAAATGTTTCAATGGATATACGTCTACTTTGCGACTTCGGCTGTCGATATGAACTCATGCAATGACGTCATCTAAATTGTGGGATTACCTATCAGTGGGTTTGCGGTTGCCTACCGACCGAATGTTACGGTGGGATCAACTACCTGATATTCTCAAAAATTGCAATTAGCATCTGCGTATGATTCGCGAGTAGGAGACAGAGAGTCACTCTTCATCGGTGAAAGTTTCGGGCCTCCAACGCAGGAGTCGCTCGTGTCGCGATGGTTAGCCAAAGACTTTCAAATTTAAACATTTCGCTTGGACGTAGGAATGACTCTGAGATTCGTAACTCATGCCAAAGCAGCACATCAATCATAAATCAGTTACTTATCTCGAGAGGAGATACATGAGTGGGAAGCTTTCAATAGGTATGAGGTAATTTTAACAAAGGCTTTTACATTGACGAACCCTTTAATGCCTGCAAAATGAACGATTAAAGTTGATGAAAAGTTATCAAAACCAAAATAGATTAACCATCAATGAATGTCAAACAAAAAAAATTCTAACATTTTTCATAATTATATACTTAGAGTCTTTCATTAAATACTTTGTGTTTTAGGCATGCTGAGAGCAATTTCTCTCTTCTGGACGTATCTCATCTTCATTAGCCTGGTCAGCAGCCAGACTGGGAACCAAAAAGATGAGAACAAAAGTGAAAATTCAATCAATGATTTCTTAAGGTAAGTGCAATTAGCATATACCAACGAATATGTGTGGTTGTTGCAACTAGGATGCCTTTATTAAGTTTGCAAAAATTCAGCTTTGACTGAAAGTACATCAGTAGCGTTCATGGTTAGGAGAATTCAAAAAAATCTCGCGATTCCCAAAAGCTGGATGCAAGGGGTATAGTAAAAAAATGATACAATTGTTTGATCAGGTGGTAATTTTTTTAATCGCAAATTAAACATTTCAGAATCAAGAATATCGACAGTTTTGATGTTTATACTTTATTATGAGTGAGCACTGTTTTTTACTATAAGATCGGTTTTTTTTTCATAGTTACCTAGTCGAGTGTGTAACCTAAGATGTGGCATCGTTTTCGATGGGGTATAAAGAATCCACTGAAATGAAAACACGGATGAAAATCAAATTAGAAATAATTAAAATAGTCCGGCATATTTGGAGAATGAAAAGGATGAGTTCTCTTAAAATTATTTACATTAAAATAATGAAAGATGTCACCATTTGGTGGCAACCAAGGATGACAGACATTGCCAATGAATTAATTTATTTCTGATTTACGAAAGAAGCTGATACAGGATTTAATTTTTAATCAATTCTTTTCAAACAATAAAGGCTTTTTTATCATTTACACCTTAAGTTTTATTGTGTGAAGTGTACACAACATATCATTCTGTTTCAAAATTATTCCTTGATTATGAATAGTTGTTTTCTTTTCCGAAAAATTTACGTAAGTTAGTATTTCATCGTCAAACATTGCTTTAGACCATTCAAACAACAGGAACTTTTAAGGGAATCAATTTTAAGTAAACAGATACTAGAGATACTGAAATTTATTCATATGTCAACGTACAATCTGAGTCTAATTCGTTGCTGTCAGCCTCCTGTATAAACTCAGAGAACATCATCTCGTTTGGTTCGAAACCTGGGGCAGGTTTTACCTGAAAATGGTAGAAATCGAGAAAAATTAGTATGTGACATTTCTGAGTTATGCGTCAGCAAAACTATACAATGTGTGTATGGAGGGTGCTTTTTTTCTCCCTGAAACGTATGAGGAGCACAGCATTATCACTCTACTTGAAAGCAGTGCAAGTGCTACTACAAGTGTATCAATTTTCCAATTTGGAAGGTTGAATTAAATATTGAATTAAACGACACTTTAAGGGCCTTGTCCGACTTTTTCCATAATTTCTGTCTTCCTGTATCTACACCACACTACTGAATATTTCACACCATGTACCGCTTTTATGAACAATTGATGCGGTGGAATTAACATATCCTGCGTTTGTGTTCATATTTGTTGCATTGAGATTTCTCTTTTATTAGTTCCTCCCTCAATCCTTTTAATGGTACTGAGGCCAAGATGATCAATTCTTCAGATTGTTTGATCATTTCTTCACCTAGCTGACAAAAGGGCGTAAGTTACATAGTGAGATGAGCCCGGGAAAACATTAAATTGTACGGGACGACAGGGTTTACTGTAGATTGTAGTTACACCCCTACGTCAGGAAGGAGAAGAAACATTAAGAACCCATTAACTCAGTCATTTTCAGTTGAAAAATGTAATAGTTTTCAAATTCCTCTAAGTGTAGACACGTGTTTCGCTCTTATTGATGATTGGCTACTATGGTATTGATACCATTGATAGCCAAAATAAAAATAATACTGTGGTTTATTATACACCTCCAACTCCTCAAATTACAACAAAGTTAGGTGCAGTAACACTGCCTACGCCCAATTTTTGGTTGAATACTGATCACTTGAGCGCAACGCAATCCTTGCTGTAGGCGCTGGAAAGGAACCGCTTCCGAAAAAAAAGTGTGAGTGAAAAGTAAAGTAACGCAGTCCCAAATAGTGAGAATGCAACTCTTCAGAGCCTTGAGCTGCACTGCGATTGCGTAAGATGCACTAAAAAGCGGGAAGGAAAATCGGAGAGCAGGACCGGAAAATATTGACTGCGGTGTTGCTTCCTTACTGTGATCATGCCAGCAACACCGAAATTCCTACCATGAAAACTAAATTCACAATGGATCTTAATATTTTTGTTTCTCAAACGAAAAAAACGTATTCATATTTCAACATGCCATTGCAAAATTTCTAGTAATAAACTGCACTTGTACTAGGAGAGTTTTAGACTTCAATTGCTGATAATCCTACTAATTTTTCCGCTAATTACATGCAAAATCAGCGCAAATGCGAGCGATTTATTTCGGGGTCATATTTTTGAAAAAATTCAATTTTTTAGTCAAAATTTCAATCTTGGAATGGAGCTTCAGTCACAAAAAAAAGAGGAATTAAGTATTTTTTGATGCCTAAAGGAGGCACTTCTATTAACTTACATGAACTGCTTCATTACTAATTTCCGCGGCTTGCATCGTCGACAGAAATCCTGAAATCATTTTTATTATTTTATGAAAATTTAATAAACAATTCTCAGAGTACATGTATAAAATATTGGTTAGATTGACAAAGTAAGTTGCACGTTCTATGTGATATTTTCGTCCACTTTGGTCATTAGGGACTGTGCAATTCAACTACATCATTGACCATGCAAATTTGTCACTTTCAGTTTTAGAAATTCAAGTCAACTTTTTTTTTTTTTTTTTTTTTTTTTTTTTTTTTTTTTTTTTTTTTTTTTTTCAATTTGCCGAGTAAACCTCCATCGATTTTTATTAGAGAAGTAGTTTTACTTGAAACTAAGCGAAATACAAAGAAATAATATTATGGTAATAATAAAACTTCATTACGTAGTTTACATCATTTTCAAATTTTTAAAGTTGATTTGTAACAAAAACAGGTTTCAGGGAACTCTTGGCTGAGGAAAATGTGTATTCTTCAAAACTGCAATAATTTAAGAAAAATTTAAATCGCTTGCATCAATTGAACCTAGAGAATGTGGGATGTATTAGTCGCGTTATGAGCGGCAAATGTTATTTTAACAAGAGAGGGTTTTCGTTTCTTTACTTAAATTCAGTAAATTTTTTTTTCAGTAGCAATTCCTCGCTGAAAGAGTAAATCAGGGAACGTTTCTGATTAAAACGGCGGAGGCACGGCTTTGCTACTTTCAAAGGCCTACTCGTCTTAAAAAAGTGATGAAGAACGTAATTTTTACATCAATAAAATTATTAGCTACAAGTCTTTAAAAAAATGTCTCCCAACTTTCTACTTGCCTGCAACTGCCATGAACACTACAAACAAAACCTGGTGCAAAGAACAACCCATTTTCAACTAGAATAACACACAACTGAACTGATTTCGTTCGGTTGAAACTGTGACTTCCTTCGAACTCGCGGTATATATTATCTTAAACATAAATTTACTTTAGCCGCGGGAAACATCATTTCCAGGCTATCTCAGTGAGCCGAGTGTCAGCTTTTATCAAAATAAGTCAACAAATCGCCCATAAAACAGAGGGAAATGTCATAAATAATTGACGCTGGCTTTGCGAAATTGCAAATTAATCATTTTGCGCGACATCCATTACAGTTGCATGTTTAAACACTTGCCTAGTGGTCATCGAAATTACTCACAATATTTTAAGTACAAAACAAAGTTATTTAATTTTAGATTTGACATTTTTTGTTACAATAGTCAATAATTACTTCTAATACATTTTCATTAATCAAATGTTCAGAAAATATCAGCTCAATTATGATGGCATAGCCGAGAACTTAATGACAAAAAATGGCACTCGGAAAATTACGCAGAAAAATTTTTTACATTCAAGAGAGGTTACATTTATTTCAATTGTTGGTGTGCACATAGTTACCAATCAGTTTTCAGTAAGCACTTGCCTCTCTGAACATCAACAACCTTCACCAGTATCAATATGCGATTACTCCTATCTGAAACTATGAATTTGGTTTCAGGCAACTGACATCGTTCCTGAATTCCGGTAGCCTTTTGCGGGCTGTCAGCAACAGCACTACGCCTTATCAATCCGGTGCTCTCAGTCAATTCCTTAGTGGAGTATTCAGGCCTAATCCTGGTGGCATCGGTGATTTTCCTGGGCAATCACTCTTGCAGGGTCTTCGACCGAACCCTGGAGGCAATGGTGTTGGAGGCCCTGGTGGATTCGATGGGCAGGGTGGCTTCGGAGGTGGCCCTGGTGGATTCGGGGGTCCAGACCCTGGAGGACCTGGTGGCTTTGGAGGTCAAGGCTCTGGGGGTCCTGATGGATTCGGGGGTCTAGGTTCTGGAGGCCCCGGTGGCTTTGGAGGTCTAGGCTCTGGAGGACCGGGTGGATTCGGTGGTATTGGATCTGGGGGCCCTGGTGGGTTTGGGGGTCCAGGTTACGGGGGCCCCGATGGCTTTGGTGGACCTGGTGGATTTGGAGGTCCAGGCGGCCCGGGTCTAGGACCGGGGTATGGTGGACCCCCTCAATACCCGGGATTCCGTCCTCCTCTTGGACCGTACCCTCCTCCAGGGTTTGGAGCACATCCCATGACGTTCTTAGGAGCTTTGTCGACCATCGCTCGCTATGATGACCTTCGCTGCGTGCCCAGACTGCTCTGTGAGGTCACTGCTGGTGGCAGGCCTGGCTACTCCAGTAATCAAGCCTCTCCTGTTCCATTTGTCTCAAAGGACGCTCTTGTCTCGTGAGTATATTTACACGAATTCTTATGAAACTTCTCCTTCAAATTTTTCATAAGCACTTGTAGTTAGGATTGAGGATTCAATCATTTGAATACACGATCTCCAAATGGCTATCTGAGAGTTGTGTTAACTGAGCCAAATAGACAAAACTGGTAAAGAATTGAATGCTAATGAGTTCATGAAGGGATTGACTTTTTCACCAACATGGAATGTTTATGGATCAACGGTGAAACTACCAGATCACGTATCTCGTTGGCGGTGCTTAAAAATCTCCGCTCCCATTTTTTGTTGTTTTTTTGTTGTTTTTTTTTTTGTTTTTTGTTTTTAGATCAAATAACTATCATTCCTTGAAGTTTTCACACAGTTTTCCTCGCTCTAAGAAGAAAAATCACGGATTTTTTTTTTTTTTTAAAAAAATTAACGTTGGATGGTTTTCCATTTGAACTTTAAAGCATGATAGGAGCTATGCAACGTTGCAAACCGAGATATGTGGTCTGGTAGTCTCATCGTCTTTATGTTGCTTTACTACTTTTCCACTGGCACCAATCGTTCCTAAAAAATATCGCTGGTTTTTAGGCAGGGTCTTTCTGAGATTGGACTACATTTTGACTTAGGAACTACTATAAAAAAATAAATATGTCTTATCATTGAAATAATTTCTCGCTTTCAGGTTGCTGACCGTGCTGAACTTCGTGGACGACCTGCCGTTGCTGACTTTCGGCCGGGCCGCGCTGCTGGGCTACACGTCGCGCGGCGATTCCCGCACCTGTCTGGCCGCGTACCCGACGTGCCCGCGCGACCCCGACCAGCTTATCAACTACCTCAACAACCACAACGGCGGCTTCTTCCGCTTCTTCAACCAACAACTCAACGCTTACCTACCTCAATACGCACCCGCCCAGGGCTACTACCGAGACCAAACGCCCAACGCCGAGTCACCAATCACCAATTCCAAGTCACTAGTTTCTGAATCCCAGTCAAGAGTTGTCAACTCCAAGTCACCGGTCAATTCTCAGTCATTGGTTGCTGATTCCAAGTCAAAGGTCAACTTCCAGTCCCCGGTTGCTGATTCCAAGTCGAAGGTCAACTTCCAGTCACCAGTTGCCGCTTCCAAGTCGCCGGTTGGTGATTCCCAGTCACTGGTTGCTGATTTCCGAGCGAAAGAGACCCGGTTCTTCGGGGACCCCAAAGATGGCGGGCGGGAGGAAAAATCGCGCTACGCAGACTTGTCCATCGAGATGGAGGCGTCACCGGGGGGTGACAAAATCCGATTTGCAGACGGGGATCGCAACCATGGCGAAGAACCGCGGATAGTCGCCGGCGGTGGTGGGGTTGGTGGTGGCCCTTTGCTGACCTTGGACTATTCCGACTCCGATTATGACTACAGTTCAAATCGGGGTGGGAAAAAGCTCGTCTTTTCTGGTTCCAAGGAGTCGGGAGAGGCGTGGAAGTTCCCAACATCGTCGTCTTCGTCGTCGTTGCCAACGCGGCGCCCGAAGAAACTCTCCGGGGGCTTCGCGTTCCCGGACAACGACGGCGAGAGCTCCGAGGTGAAGTTGCGGCCGATGGTGTTCCCGACGGATGACGTCATGCATACGGCGAGTTCGCCGCCCGAGTTCGTCGACAGCCAGGGGCGCCCCATCCCCGAGTTCGTGAACAGCCAGGGGCCCCCCATTCCGGAGTTTGTGGACAGTCAGGGGCGCCCTGTCCCACCGCCGCCGTCGATGGACAGGCCGCACTATTCGCCCTACTCGGATTATGTATTTCGCCCGGATCGATTCTCCAAGTTCACCTCCTTCGACTATGATACCGGCGGTTTCGGCTCTTTCGATAAGATGTTCGGCCGGGAGCAGGTGCGCTTTCTGTGAGCGCGTCGCACGGTGGAACGCGCGTTTCGGAGGGTTGGACATAGAATGTTTTATGAAAATTCCACTTTTGATGTTTGTTTTTACACATCATAAAAAAGGGACTTTCCTCGAGTGATTTATTGCGGAAAAAGCCATGGAACCGCTCTTGGCACCATACGACTTGCGTCCCGCGGTCAAAAAAGGAACGACTTCCGTCCCGTGTCCAAAAATCTTGAAAACGACTTCCGTCCCGCGCTCAAATCCGAATTTGAGCTGCCATCATGATTGGCAACACCGCGTACCTGAGTCAAAATACTATCAAGTCAAATTGGAAAATATGCAATAAAATTACCTGAGATAAGATGAGGAAACAGCCATCAAAATTTCTTCATACTCATTAGCAGTGCTTGTCATGAATTAAAAATTTCGCTTGTTTTACGAGCACGTCAAAAATTGAAATTGTACCATTAAAAACGCCGGGGCACTACGAGGGTAAAAATTTAAAGGACGCTTCGCGCACATATTTTAGTCGATCCTCGCTCCCTAAATAAATTTGCGTAAGAGCATTTAAATCTGCCTCTTTTTCAGTCTGCTTTTTCTTTTTCCTTCGAGTAATATTAATACTTTTTATTTTTATATAATTTTCAGACTGAATTTTTACGAAGACTAAAACAAAATCACGTCTAAATCAAAGACTAAAACAAGTGATTTGTGAGTGCAATATCATCTTCTAATAAGAGCTACCGAAATTCCGGACATTCCGGACAATTCCGGACCGAAAAGCACGGCTTTGTTGTGGAGCTGCGGTAGCGACGTTGCCATATGATATGAATTATAATCAAATCAATCCACTACGGGACGGAAGTCATTTTCGAGATTTTTGGACACGGGACGGAAGTCGTTCCTGTTTTGACCGCGGGACGCAAGTCGTATGGTGCCCNATCAATGCGATATATCGCATGCCGTTCTGACACAAAATATGGCGCCCATCGAATCACCTTAATCAGATTTTTCCTTGAATCGAGAGCCAAGCTCCTTAATTTAATTGAATATCTTTTTGATTCAAGTAAAAATCCTATTGGGTTAAGAGTAATTTTTCTTGTGAATTTTTTTAGGAGTCTGTACTCTTGATCCAAGAGACTTCTTTTTTCAAGTGCATATGAAGTTCAACCCCTCCCACTTATTCGCTTCTCTGTTCGTCGCATCAATCGTCGGGCTAGATTCTGTTACACCAAAGATATAAAAATATTTTATGGATCTTCCCGTGAAATCAGCTACTAATGTGCGTGCGCGTTCAGGTCCAATCCTCAGTTTTTAACTCCTTGCATCAATAAAACGGGAAAAATATTGTGCCGACATCTATTTGAGGCCCCTACCAACCCTCTTTCCCTCGGAATCCCCAATCAGACTAAGCGTAGGTGCATTTTTACAAAAGAGCGGAGAAAAAAATGAAATTTTACGGAATTTATTTCTCTCTCGTTTACCTCCCAAAGTTTCAATATTTATTAAATGTAGACATTTTCAACCTCAAGTTAGGTAAGGATTGACACCCCCCACTCCCTCCCCCGTTCCTGTCAGACTTTCTTCATGGACTTCTGATATGCTTTTTCCCCAAATTTGTGTCACAATTTATGGATGGTCACGTTGAATTTGCATGTTACAATAGTCAAATCATCTTTGCGAAACTAACGTTCACAAATTAAATTAGATTCACTTAGTTACAATTCGCAAGTACAAACTTTGATCGGTGGATAAGTAACATAAGATTTCAAATTTAATTCCTCTCTATTGTTGTCTTTTAGTTTAAGTTGTATAATTTATTTATTTTTGCCGGCTTATTTTATTTATATAATACAAGCCTAGGCAAATGTGAACACACTCTTTACTTTGATTTGATAATTTATGTAAAGACCTCTTTGGTACCGATGCGGTTGCATGATTTGACATATCGACGCTGAAACTCCCAAACCACGTATCTCGTATGTTGTGTTCTTAAAAGCTCCCCTCCGATTTATTTTTTTTTAGGAGTATGAATTAACATCATTCCTAAAGGTTTTTTCAGAATTTTCTTTGCACTGAGAAGTAAAATGACGAAGAATTTCGAGAACTGACAATGAGTTATTCATTAGATTAGAAGAAAAAAACATGGTAGGAAGTTTGCAATGTCGCAAACTGACGAGATACGTGGTTAGGGTGTTTCGCCGTGGGTATAGTTTTTCAATATTTTTAAATTTCAAGACGTTTGCTCTTGTAGTCGGACTTTTAATATTACTGTCATGAGAAAGCTCCTTTTCATATTAGGCAATATTCACAGATAAAAACGTTTAGGGCTCATGCCTAGATTCAGCATCTCCTAGTTTTGTGTAGGCACCAACTCTATACTCTCGCTAAAATAAACAGTAGTGAGGGCATAGGGCTGATATCTGCTCAAAATTCAAAAGATGCCAAACTTATCTACCTCCTTTAAGATGAGCACTAAACCGTTTTTTCCTTCTTCCTTTAGCTGCAACTCAGCTTTAAATGTCAAAATTCAGGAGAAATTAGGCGAGTCTGTTTTTTCGCATGGTTCGAGGTTCGTGAGTGAGCATTATTTATTTGATCTTAATGGTCATTATTTTGGATAATTTTAGTCTAGTTCTTTCATCAGAATTTACGACACTTACTTTTTTACTCCATTTTTTTATTATTGATCAGCAATTTGTATTGTGTCTTTGGAGTCTACAACCTTAACTATACTGACATTCATTGGTGAGCAAAAAATGTATGAATTTGAATTCAAAGTGATTACTTTCGAGCAAAACGAATTTGAAATTTAATAAATCCGTAAGTAAATAGTTGCAACCTAAAGGTATGCATGAAAGGTAAAAGCTTTCAATATCTGTACGTGTGATAGTAAAGTTAGTTCTGGTGTTCAAAGTCTTATAAGATACACTCTGAAACTAACTTTTATGTATTATTTATTTTTCTTTTTCTGCGCACTTTCCAAATCATACAAATGGTGCTTTTGATGAGCTTAAACACTTGTCTTCTTTATTACATTGAGAACAGACAAACAAGATAAATATGTATACTTGTATTTTTCAGCCCCTTCTTCAATACGAGCATTGTTAATAACGTACACGTCAATTTCTAAGGCAAAAAAATGGGTACCTGCATTGCAATGTCTCAAAATTTTTTTTCATGAAATAACTTACCAGAATGTCTTCTTGAAACTCCTTGTGAATATATTTCGACGATTGAGGAAAATTCACAGGAAACGTCAAAAAGACCATTGGTTGGTTTTCCATTAAAAAGGTAAAACTTGAGCGACAATTTTCAACATTGCTATGGGAGGTACGTACTTTTTGACCTTAGCCATCGATTAAACATTATTTTTTTAAAAAAACAAACTTTCTTCCGAATTCACAAGATTTATTATTGAACGAAAACTTTTGAAATTAAATAATTTGGATAGAGTATCACTTTTGCGACCTGTTACTTTATTTAACCTTAATTGTTTTGTATCTACATGTATTATTCATAAAATGAGGGTAAGAGTGCACAGGAAATTAAAAAAAATCAGTGAAATCCGTGGAAATTTTGTTTATTTTTTAATACAGTTAAATCATTTTTTGATTTTTTTTCTTTTTTTGTATCATTTTGTTGTTTTTTAAAAGAAACAAAATTAAAAATAATAAAATAGACTTAAAGACAAGATTTAAAAGTATTTATAACTATATGGGATCCTAAAATTAGGCCTATAATAAAAAGAAAAGGGTGAAAAAAAAGAAAACTTCTGTACATAAAAGAAAGACTGTCGGGTAGCTGATGAGTTTCAACTTAATGTGGTACATGACAAAGATTGAACGGAAAAATACTATGGACAAACATATTTGATAAATAATCATATTTTCGGCTGCAACGAGACAGAAAAATGACAGGTATGATGCAGCCATTTTATCTTGGATTAAAAAAAGATGAGGGGGAAAAATATGTTTTGTGTCGGTCTCATCAGTTTGTGGGCCTTGCTACGATTGTGAAGTAGAACTTCAAAACACATTACAAAATTCGAGCAAGTTTTTCAGCAAATGAAATTTAAATTGTGGTGACTAAACTTTAAAAAAATGAAGGGTTTTACAGGACATTCTGTCTCTAGGGCCTTTAATGTACTGATTATTTGCATTAAATTTTTTGAAACAGACATAGATAAGCAGAAAAAATTTAATTTATTGAGGATGAACGAACAACATTTTGAGAGAAAAAAATTAAATAGCTTTAAGCTTCACAAAGAGAAAGATATCTTTTGCTTCTTTTCGGATTAAAAAAAGGTGATAGAAAAAAATAAAAATATAAAGATAAATCTTCAATTCATAAAAAAACTGTTCATAAAAATATTTCTTTCTCGGAAACTTAAAATTAATTTTCAGAATTTTTTTTAAAAAAAAATCTTATGTTTAGAATGATTACATAAAATTGATCACAAAACGCTTATTTGAATACATTTTATATAATAAATAAAAATTAGGCATTTGAACACATCATTTTTTTCAAATCTGAAGTGAAAAAGGACGTCAAAAATGGAGAGGGAGTCGTGAATTTTTATGAAATGGATGGGACTGCCGTGAAAAAAATGGGATGTACCAAGAAATTAAATGTGCTTCATTTGAAAAAGAAAGAAAAAAACATTGCTTATCGTAGCATTATTTTGAAGCACATCAAATTGCATTCTGATTTTTTGGTACAAGCTAAATGTATTTACTTAATTGAAACAGACGATTATCCATTTGCTTAAAGTTGAATAGACTCAAGGCCAAAGAAAATCAAAGGCTGAAATATAATTGTAATTTTAATTTAGTTTTTCTCATCAATATATATGAGCTGTGAAATCCTTCATGCTCACATACTGATTAAATGCAAGTTTACTACATGCTTCGGAAAATTGGTTACTTGAAATTTGAATTTGGCAGTCTTGAGATCAGAATGAATCTATGCACATACCTAAATATTTATTATGCCTTTTAAAAGGCGGATCACAGTAACGCTTTGATGGCGAAATCTTGCTATATTAAAACACACACAACACTTGAGTTTTAATGAGGACATTTCACGTTTGGGTTATACTTTTGATGGGACTTTCCTCCCTTAAAATGAAAGGAAGAAAATCAATGTAGATGAGTTAAAATAAATTAAACTTATGATCAAAGAGAGAAATTAAAATATGAGGGAGGTTTCCAGATAACGGTTTCAAAACTCGCAAGTTTTCATTTACAAATCTTAATAAGAACTCAGTCTTTTAAATTCAGCTTTTGAACACACGCTTGAAAAGTTTGTTTTTGTTTTTAATTTCAAATGCAAAGAAAAAAAACAAACGTAAAAAAGAGGAAAACTGACTTCTTATCGAAAGACAAAGAGTTTCTTGAAAGAGAAAGAAACTCAATTGGTAAGTCCAAGTGAGTTTTACACGGGAGGGACAAAATCTATTAAGTCTTTAAGTTAATTGTTGACTTGCATGCTCCTCGGCACAAAGATATCGGAGGTACACATTACTGAAGAAAATCAGAAAAAAATCAGTCTTCACTTGAAAAATTAAAACTAAGGTAGAGAGTGAATTACTTAAATGAATATAAACATTGGTTAAGGTATTTCAGTCATTTAAACGAATTGATTTGCTAGCTGAAACCGTGCGAAAAAAATAAATTCAAGGGAAAAATAAAAATGTTGGAAAAATATCGAAGTAAGTACGCAGAGAATATTTTAAAAAGTTAAAACTGGAAACTGTTATAAGAAAAGAAAAGCGATGACAAGGAGAGTCCTCATTAAAACTGGAGCAAGATTTCGAGAGTCACAGTTACAGCTTTTTACATTTTACAAACCTTTACAACATGGAATATATTATTTACAACACCACTTCGGTACAACAAAATAATTATTAATTTACTCATACTTACAAAGCCTGGGAAATAGACAAAACATTTAAGCACTAAACAAGATAAAAGCAACATTTTATGTACAAACAGAGCTTCTCGACAATAATTAACGTAAGCTAGTAATGATACTTTATTATTTACGACTGACTTGATTTTTTGGTGATTTTAACTAAAGCTGTAACATACAATATGAAACAAATGGGTAAAATCAGAGGACTTAGAATAGTATGATGATAAAATGGAAATAAGAATTATAGGGAGTAAGCAAAGGTAGAGTTATGCAGAAAGAAAATGAAGACGACATTTATGGTCGTAAGTAGCAGGGCAATAAGTGAAACTTGAAGCCAATACTAGGAAACAACCGACTGATGAAATTTAACTACAATTATTCGGTGTTAAAATGGGAATGGATTTATTATTTTCTTTACTGAAAGGAATAAGGGGATCATTGAACCAATATCTGGCAAAAAAGACGAAAAATTCACATTATTTCTTGTGGGAAATTTTCCATAGCAGAAAAATTAGACAAAGGTGGCCAACTTTTGGCTTGCGACACCTTCTTGCAATCAAATGTTACTTCACTTTTTGCTAAAGGGAAAGATGAGGGGGGGGGGCGTAAGAACTATTATGTACAAAAATCAAGGTGCGACTGGAAAAGTCGAGCACCTTGACTACTATGCTAAATAGAGATCATATTGAAAACTAGTTTCATCTCCCTGCTAATTTTTTTTCAATCACAGGGAAAGTGATTTGACAAAAAAAAAAATAAATAAAAAAATAATAATTATTAAACAGCAAAACACATTTTCTGTACACTGAGTCTTTGAATATACAATGGCAATTTTAAAGTGGAAAAACTAACCAAAAAATTTTCTATTCAGAATTGTTCCCCTTTGGTATGAAAAAAGAAAAATTGAACCAAATTTCAAACAAAAACCCACGTGTTTAAACTCTGGCTAATAAAAGAAACTAATCAACCATAATTATGTAACAATTGAAACTAGAAAATATAAATGTTATAATTTGCAGCCGAGTGCAGGCGGAGGGTTGAACTTTGAATTTTGGTCGTATGAACACACCTTCTTCCGTACTACGTAAAAGTACTACAAAGAAACCGTAGACGTCGAGTAATATCAAAACTCGTTGAGAAGCAAATGTGTGCGTTTTTTCAATCTATGTGGAAGTTTGAGGGGTGGTAAAGCAGCGTTAAAGGCGGGTAGCGTTTGTAGTCTTGCTGCAGAAGCAACTTTTGTACTTAGAAAAGCTCAAACCCGAGGGTTACAACGACAGGTAAAATCTCAGTGCTGCCTCCTCTTAAACATCACAATGTGTTCCGGCTGAACGTTCTAAGAAAGCATCGTACAATAAATCACGTAATTTCTAGATTTCAAAAATTGAAGCTGAGGAACTGAAAACAAAAATAAACTAACCAAAATCACTCATTGCTTTTGAGCAACAAAACATTGTAGAGTTTTGCAATGGCATTTTCTGGTTGGCCGAATTTTTACAATTTTTCGATTGTTTTTCGACATATTTGGGCATCAATTACTATCAATGTCAAACACTTTGTTCGATTACCGGCTGAGCTGAGACTCATTGTAGGCGGGTGATGAGTCTCCATCCCACGATGAATATTATCGTCGTCCACACCGATTTGCCGAGAGGAGAGGGGACTAGTAACGAGAATAAACTTGATGCTTTCATTTCCGGCATTGGGCTCCGGGAATGCTCAGTCTTGTTCAGGGGACTCTGCAAAAAAGAAGCAAAAAACGAACATATTAGTAAAAAATTACTAAGAAAAAATACACATACACATTCTGCATAAGGTATGGCAAAAGCGCTCCATTCATCAAAACTGGAATTCTTTGATGCAAAAGTTGCATTGATAGTTGAGTGGCTCGCATAAGTTGGGGAATAAGTTATGTTTTCTTTACGGAAAATCTAGGGAACGTGTTAGAAATCGTATTGAATGATTCTCCGAAAATCTCTAAATCTCAATGACATCAGTTTTTTTTTAAATTTATTTTTTTTTTTGTTTTTTATTTTTTGTTAAGAATTTTATCATCAAGGGTGGTGCACAAAAATCTACTCAACTCCGACATAACTATGACTATTAAAAGAAACCAATTTTTTGATTTTTATTCGACAGTGACTTTATGGTTAACGACTTGTAAAGATGAATTTACCTTTTGGAAAGTAGAGCGGAAGTCCTCGGCTATACTTCTAAGCTCTTCGCCAACGTGAACCCACTTCTTTTGCGGCCTCAGGGTCTTCATGGACGAGTGTGGGAGTTTGGAGAGATACCTCTTGGGAGAAAGGCTCCGTTTATTGAGGTTCCTAGTTGCTGGTCGGGGTCGCTGCATAGGGCCGTCAACTTCGTCTGATTGTGATTGGTGCCTTGGTAAGCTAACGGGGGTTGATGGTGAGACGGTGGACGAATCGCAGTGGCATTCGAGGTTCGATTCTTGCAGGCGGTTTGAGAGGTTGTTCAGGGCTGGAGACATGGCGCTCCTCACAAGGTCAGGAAGGGCCATCAGCCTTTCTTGTACCAGATCTGAATCACTGGGAGGTTCGAAGTCTTGCTCCGACTCGGTGGTGAAGCCAGTGTTTTCCACTATCCTCGTTGAAGGAGCTGAAACACACAAAAAAAAGTTTTCCTATAAGATAAAGTTGCATTTTATCTAGTGTCAATTTTTTAAGCGGAAAATAAAAAGGAGCACCGGTAATATTTTGCTAAAATTCATGGATGTTTAAGAATTTGGTCAATTTGGTTAAAATAATTCATGAAATACTTCATTGACAAAATTTATCACCGAAAAATTCAATCATAGAGAAGAACGACGCGGAAAAATCAGAGTTACTCACGGACAAGTAATTGTAAATTTGACGGAGGTTGACAAATATTTGAAAAAAAAGAAAAGAAATGAAGAAGAAGAAAAATGTGTTGGATGAAAGAAGCCCGAAATTCTTTGAAAAAACGTATTCAGAGTGATGGGAAGTACAGCGCAGCGCTGCGCTCGCGCATCTGACAACTGAGAAGTAGCGGGTTGTGGTGCCGCGCTCGCTTGACCGCGGCCCGTATAAAACGCCTGCAATTGGACGGGTATGCAATTTGACCGTACCCAGAGCATGTCAAATCGTATCATCGTTTATAATGGTGTTTTCTTCACGGCGCAACGATGAGAAGGAGACGGCTGAGCGATGTGGTAAAAATACAGATAGGCTTTTCCGTGTTGAGCTAGGTGGAGTTTTAATTTCCAATCGGTATCTTCTAATTATTTCTCCAACATAAAAATGAATTTTTCAAAATTGCTCGTCTATCATGACGCGAGGTCAATACAAACTGTCCGAAGTTCGAACTGACGATTGAGTGAATTTGAATTAAAATCGAAGTTAAGGAAAGAAGTAAACAATTTAAGAAGGAAGTAAAAATAGAAAAGCAAAATGTTCAAAACCGAGTAATATAGCATGCACAGTTGGTGATGATGCGACCATACAATTGTAATTTCATAAGGCATAGTTATTGCGGCAATAAACGAGTTATTATATATGACTATTTTTCTCCAAAGTTTTCGCACATGTAAATGACACAGTATCCATTCAAAGCGCTACTCAACATATTTTTTCTTCAAAATTCCACGAGGAACAAGAATAACACAATGAGAAGTCCAGGAATCAATTTGTAAATTATAGGATTCGTCCCTTGACCGATTCGTGAACCAACCTTCGAAAGCGCTTCGCACCATTACGTTACACGTTACGCGTTAATCTTATAATTTTATGTTGAAGAGTAAGATAAGATATAAATGTTCACGATTCACATCGGCTAAATGGCCAAAGAATGAAACATGTCAGTAAAGCCTAACTTTCATCTGACTTTTAATCAAAATGCATCTCAATATCTCGCTAAATAGTTGATTCCCGAACTTCTCGTAAAGTGAATCGTCTCCCACTTCAGATTATCAAGAGAATCGTCTCCCACATCAGATTTTCAAGAAAACGCATGTGATTTCTCTGATTCAGACCTCGTCTAAAGGCCCATTCCAGTCAAGCTAGAGGTCCAGTTACACGATCAAATTTAGCCATCAAATTGGGCCTCTCATTGGTCGCATCCTCACCTCAGGTCTTTTTCCACCAAACAGAGCTTCAGTTTGATAGCTCAATTTGATCGTGTAACTGAACCTTAACCACAATTTGATGTAAAGACGCAGATTTCACGCGCGGCAGCGACGAAGTGGAACGGGGCAAAGTTCGCACCTCGGCAGGAGCACCCGGAGCCGGGCGCGCGCCAATTGCAGCGAGGCGCGTTGGCGAGCACAAGTTCCACCTATTAAAAGACGAATCATAAAGGGTCTCGGAGGCTCGGAAGGAGTTTAATCGGGCCCCGGCGGAGAGCGGGGCCCGTAATAAGTAGCCTCTGGCAGCGAGTGCTCAGGTGAGCATAATCCGTTCTCCAAGGTCAACAGCACGCGATGGCTACTGGTTTTTACTCGCGTGCTGCTCGGCGCGTCGCGTCGCGGCGCGCGGCGTCGGGGGACGGGGACCCGGGGAGACGGGAGCTGGGGCCGACGCTCATCAGGGCGTTGACTCCCCGCCGCCGCCGCCGCTGCGCACGCCACTTCGACCTGGCTCGCCACTGACCCTGTCCAGCCCAGACTTGCACCACCGGGACACTGAACCTAGTTGCAATTTCCACTCGGGCGTAAATAGAATAATATTGCTGAGAGTGACCTACCATTTCTCCCGAGAGAGCACTGAAAAAAAAAGTAGCTTGGATCAAGCATGATAATTCTTGAATTTGCCGCCAAGAATTTTCTTTATCTTGCTTTGAGCTGACTTTTTCTTGATTCAAGAAAAATAATGCTTGGGTTAAGCAACAAAGTAGCTTATATTAACCAGCAAAATTCTTCATTTAAGAAGAAATACTTCTTGGCGGCAAACTTAAGATTCTTTTTTTTCCAGTGAGAGGGATTATTGGTGATCCTGAGACAAAACTGACCTAAATTTTGAAAAATGCTTTTACTTCTTCCTGATCCCTCGAAATTTTGTGGCTCATTGTCACTACGCAGGAAAAAATTGTAACATTGATCGTCGAGGTCGATTTTCGAGGTCAAGGTTCGCTATAAATATCAGGACGTTAAAAAATGACTTGTTCGGGAATCTGACAAAGATAAAGAAAAACAGCAATATAAAGTCTACCTTAAGGACAGATAGACGTATTTCTCTTGCACCTGACGTATATTCGTACACTTGGTGGTTTTTTCTCTTCGGTGTTCGGAGTTTTACCTCTGAAAATGTATAGCGATCTCGCGGAACGTCGAACTTGACGATAAATGTTACAAATAAGATACCGTTCGATGTTTTTATCTTTTACTGTATGTATCATGCAATTTTTTTAGGAAAAAACTTCGGTGACCCCATGCGAAAAAATTGCATTGCAGGGCTTCCTTGAGAAAAATCAAAATAAAACTTTTTTAGTGTCCATTTTAGGGTAAAATCTAAAGCTGCGTTACAAACTAAACATTTCCTAAAGTTTTTTTTTTTTTTTTTTTTATCAATAATTAAGGACCAAGTAAAATCAATTCAAGGTACGAGTGTGGCTCCAGTGCATTATTTGAAAATTAACACGATTTGTTAAGATGGCTATCGAAATGTTTGTCACGTCATCTAGGTCAATGTTTCAGCCACTTGACGCTCGGGAACGAAAGTAAATAAAGGTAATTAGGATTGTTGATTAAATACACAGTTTTCCAAAATGCATTGATTGCAAAGGAAAAGTCTAAGATGAAATAAATGAGAATGAGGCTGCATGTGAGATGATTTTCTACATTTCGCGGTGGTTTTACATCATTACTACTTTATTTCACTAACATTGTATATAGAGCGCGAATCACGACTTATAGATAATGACTCAGCACCAGTGGCAAAAAATTGTACTCAATAAAGTGCAGAAATGTCAAAGATCCCAAATAAGAATAATGAAAGGAACCCAACAACTGGTTTTTACTTTCAGGATAGTGAAAAACCGACAAGACGTCACGTAACGCTCACGAAACACTTGCGTTCATAATGATAAGTCGTTTGGAAAAGTTAAGGACGAATGTCTATTGCGGGCGCAAAATATTATCACCCAAGATTATACGCGTTACGTAATTATACAATTTTCTGATACGTATATGGTTAAATTGAAACATGTGAAATGAATGCAAATATTGTGGTTTCTACTATGACGTGCGAAAAATTATCGGAAATTAAAGTTGAGTGAAATTTCAAAAGTTAGGATGATGCTGATGTAATACACAGTAACAATTAACGTCATCCTCAATTCTTGAGAGTAGTTAGGATGATTTAACGGTTTCCTCAAAATTAATTTCAAAACTTAAATTTTAATACCACAAAATCTAAATTTTTATCAAGAATTTGGTTTTAAAATGAAACTTTGAGAATGAAATACAATTCTACGATTTATAAGCTGCTGCTTAGTTTCCGAGAAGAGAAAAATTAAAATTGGAACGAAGATTATAGTTAATACTTTAATTGTTGGTTATTTTATTTCCGTTTTTGAAATATTTAAAATTATATTCTTTCACATTTGAAATGATTCCGCATGTTCATGTTTTTGGTTATTCAAACTTAAGCTTGGGCGGAGAGCACCCTGCATATTACACGGGAGTTTTGAGGGCAGAAATCTGATAAAAACAAAATTTTAGGATACAGTATTGAAGAAAGATAAGACACGAACAATAGTTTAAGCTTTTTAGGAATTTCAAAAAAAAAAAAAATGACGGTCAAAAGAAAGTAATAAAGGTTGAACTACGTCGGCGACTGATATGCATTTAAGTGATCTCATCATGAGTCGCTCAGAAAGAGCTGAGTAGGTGTAGACTTTACTTTATTCCTACAGTTTATAAATAACAATTAAATTATATTCTTATCAAATTCTTATCGATATTTATATTTTAATTTTATTTAAAACATGAATTTATGAATCTTTAAATATGTTTTATCACTCACAAAAATTCAACCGGTGCATTACTTAAAATTATATTTTTGCCAGTAAAAAATTTACTGTTCTATGTAGAAAGCTTTGAATGTAAGAGAGCTTACAATTTATAAAGAATCTCTGACTAAAAATGTTCAAATTTCAAGAAAAATATTGGCAGTTCGGTCAAAAAGGATCGCATTTTGTTCATAGTTGGAAATATTATAGCGGGGCAGAATAAAGTCCAGCTCCAGTTTTTTTGTCTATCAACTGTAATTTGAATGAGTAATATTTTATTAATTTACTATCACATATGATTTGGTTTTATTTTTACACAAACGAAGATGTTTATTTTGATTTGTCTATCTTTTATAAATTTTTGATGAGTTCAATGGAAGTTTTAAAACTTAAAATCATTTGAAGATCGTTTCCTACGCCAACTGATAAGAATGGCACGTACATGATTTTACGATTGTTAGGTGATCAAATGCAGTTTATGAAATGTTTATGAAATAAAATTGGAAATCAACGTAAACTCTAAAAAATAAATTAGAATTATTAATTTTTACAACGATAAAATATGCCTCAATTCTTGGGATAAGGTAAATTTTACTTTTTGAAGATGAGCACCTAATTTCAAACTTTGGTTCAAATAAAAAGTACGAAAATGTTGCGTCCCGTATCATTTGAAGCTAGCAAAATAATTTAAAAAAACCGATAATTTTACTACTTATTTATTTTGAGGTAAATTATTGGACCGAATTTCCGGAAAAAATATTGAGTATTTTAGAGAAGTCGAGCAAAGGTGATAAAAAATTAATGACATGTGCAACGACTTGATTTTTCTGAAAAATATTATTTTGTTTAGGATCAAATTTTTAGAAGTGGTTCATTCGACCTACAGGTGTACCGCGCTGCTGGCTTAAAGTCATGAAGTGAGATTGTTTACAAACACGCCCTTGACGGATGGTGGGGGAGTCGAAGCCGACGTCAGAAATAAACACTAGAGTTCACACGTTGTTGATGCAAATAAAAACCGCGCGTTCACAAATCACAAACAGTGAGAGGCTAAATTTAAATTAATTTAATTTTTTACATACCTTGCATGTGCCGGGGACGTAGTAAAATTTGCCTCAAAACATCGTAGAGATCGGCGAGTAACTGATCCAGCCGGCGATAATTCTCCTCGGTTTCTTCGTCCGAGGGCAGATGAAACGGGATCGCCATAGTAACTTCACTTAAATCACTCCGAGATGACAAAAAAAACAAAAAGTTTGAACCGAATAAAATATCAAAGGAAATTTCGACAGCGGCGCACAGTGTTTATGTCGAAAGCCATGTACACAAATTTCACAGAAGTTCACAATTTTAAAGTTAAGCTCGAAAAATGTCAAAAAAGGGTAGAAAAATATTTTAGACGACGACACGGAACGAAAATATCACCAAGCGGTAAGAATGCACTGATGAGGGCGAAAAATATTCAAAGGTATAAAAAGACGCGTGGTGCACGAGTATAAGTTTGATCACGGAGCACGAAGTGGTACGCGTGGTGCCGAACGGAGCGTCGCGAGACGAATGATGGTGCACACCCGGTGAGTAAGCGCCGTAGATGCGGTCTGCATCCAGGACGTAGTACGAGGTCCTGGACTTGTTCCCGCTCAACCCTGCGCCCCTCACCCCTGCAACCCTGCACCCTCTATGCACCCATTACCACTGCTCCTCGCCCCGACCCCCTCCCGTCGTCGCGTTGGCCGCACCTCAACCCCCAGCCCCCTTGCTTGCCTTTCGGATCATTGGCAGTAACCAATCCTGACAACTTTTTACCACTGCTCAAAGACTATTAACTTCTTTCAGTAGATTTGTGCATCTGATACACCTATCGAGGGGTCTTTTCGCCTCCTTGCCTCCTTCCCCTGTTCCTTGACGTATTGTCGGAGTGAGCACCTGTGAAATCAACACAGTTCCTTGCCCTTTGACTCCTGCTCGAACCTACAGGTCGCAGCTCCGTCTCGGCGAGGGACCAGGGTTTGGCTCCGGCAATGTTACGGGCTGCGTTCACTTTTTGAGTGTAGAACGCGTCAGGATTTGTGACGATCAGTTTATTTTAGGTGGGACTACTCATCTTTTCTCCATCGAAACATGTCTGGAATAGAGTCCCTTCATACCCAGAGTTAAGACGACTCGATTATCAGCTGACTGGCAGCCGGCCTTGGCTGGCCATGGAGGCCGAAACGAGTGCACCCAAACGAACGATATTGAAGGATAAGGATCAGGAATCCTGCGATGTCTGTCACACAAGAACATCAAAATCAACAAATTGATCAATTAAAAAGAAAATGAGATTGGTTTGTAAATAATTTCTTAATCTATTTTCATTTTGGACCGATGGAAATAACAATTTACTCTTGATAAACCACAATTAGGTAATATTTTCATTAATCTTGTTCACATTCGAGGTACCGCCATCTTGGTGTACTTGTTTCGGCCTCCATGAGCGAGAACCAATCAGAATTGGATTTTTTTTTAGGCCACTTTCAGCCCAACCAAAAGTGAGTTGTCTTAACTCTGGGTATGAAGGGACTCTAGCCTGGAATTCAGATTGATTTTGACCATTTTCAAAAAAAAAATGGAACGTCAGTTTCACACTCAGCTGAGATTTCGTTTAAGAAATAGACTTATGTAACCCTCAAAAAATGACGGGAAAATATGCACAGCAGACGGGGGAATGATCAATTTGACTTAAAAAATCTCTTAGACGTCTCCCATGGACACCCTTTTCTCTAGTTTAAGGCTTGATAACTTCATTGCTCACCGAAATGCTTAGCAGAGTGCAAGGTTCCCTGACTCACCGACTCACAACAGGTGACCAAAATAGATCTTAAAAACCACCTATTGATGAATTTGTCAAAAAATAGAAAACACACGGCGCGCGTGTGGCTGCTCTCAGCATAGTTATAATGATGGTGAACGAGTTTCAAATTACAATACACGAGGTACACATTTTGGTTACATTTGCACATTTTTAAATAGGTAGATACGAATAATTCATATCTCTGTAAAAATCGTGGATACATGACTATTTGTGTTTGAGCGGTGTTTTTCTGCGTATTCAAAAAGCAGATGCGAAGCTTACATCAAAACTAAAGACATCTGTTCCTTCAGCAGTCTTTTGAAAACTAAATCTTGTAAGAAAATTAGTGACGCGCCAAAGTGCGCCTTCAAATACGCTTAGTAGGCAGAAAAGCAACACTCGAACACGAATAGTTGCCTAGCCGGTAATTTTTTGCGAAGAGCCGTAGTTTGGAAAGTTCTGCGGAAGCAAAAGTGTTCTACTAGCCTTAAATGCATGTTATTTTACTTATGTATTCGAAATGTTCACAAATTGAAAATGGTAACTAATTTTACAAGCACTGAGAGCTTCATTAAATAAGGTGTGAAATTCATTAATTGAGTTTTATTAAACGTTATCAGCACTGATTGATTTAGAAATGGATACAACTTTTTCTTACCGGTTTTACTGAAGATTTTTTCCCTTTTAAAAAAACTGGCCGTTTCAGGCTTGCGCCCATCGTTTTGATTTTAAGACAAGAAAGGAAAATAAAAACGTAATTGAAACTTTTCGACACGATCAATTCATCATATTTGCTTTGGTAACCTTCTTTGCACGTAAGTGCTCCTACTAAATTTATACAATGCGGTTGCTTGTTTCATGAAAAAGGAGAAAAGTTTGGTGCAAAGTCAATAAAAAAAAGTTTTATCTGTTACTGAAAGAAAGAGAAAAAAATATTTACGATGGAATCAATCAATGCTTCATGCACAAAGTGTTTTATCATTTTAAAAATAGAGCGAGAGTTGGCAGGGTGCAGGAATCTCCTTTCATTCTGCCAATTTTTCGGATCAAATTAGAAGGATACTTGTCTAAGAAGAAAGTCAACTGAAAAGCATTCTAGAAAAGGCAAGTTGATTAACCAAACTTGGCTATGAGCCCCGGGTGGGAAAAGTGGGACGAAAGCTGCATACTTCAAGAGCATAACTTCGAAATCCATATGACCGCTGCACTGGAGAAGACGCATACAGAACCGGGATGGGAGAATCATTAAAATCTGTTCCGTTAGAGCGCAGCACTTGTTTAGTCAGTCTATTGATGACCGAGGCAAGGCGGCACCTCGGCGACTCGGACCCTCGCGACTTGTCGATCCTGAGTGCAGAGCAACATCCCCTATCCCTGTTACACTCCTTGCTCAACTAGTGGGTTGATCCGTCAAAGAATCAATCATACTCTATTTATCTCTAGCTTCTTAGTTCACATTTGATTTTACCTTATTTTCTTGGTAGATGAGATGACAAAATACGAGAAAAATTGGTATGTCAAAGTTTCTGAATTGTTACGTTGGTACCAGGAAAGGAATGGGGAAATCGTACAAGATGGGAAAATAAATAAATGGTGAAATGGATAGCCTAGGTACCTAATACGCATACTTTCGTCCATTGAGTATTTAAGTAGACAGAATGAAAAAAACTTCCGGGTAGAAAAACTGTAAAAAATGATCAGTGTTCAGCGATCTTCAGTTTAATAAGTTCGCTGATTTCAATTGAACACATCTAATTTTTATTTGGCTTTTTGTGATTAATTTTATTTTTATTTTAATTGTACGTTTTGTTTCTCTAGATGCATATTTTTAAAATCTAAAAATTCGCTTTCATGAGCATATTTGCTCACTAAAGGGTTGTCCCCCTGATCTCAACCGTCAGAAAACGCTTCATACCTTTTAGAACCCGCTTTGCGAGCCCCCGTGAGTTGACCTATATTAAATAGTGAGGGCTCATCTAAACACCAACTCCTCAAAGCCGCAAAAATCTTGTAAATCAGCTCGGTAGGTTTTTGGAACGAGCGGTGCCAAAAAATGAACATTTACATTGTTTAGAAGAGAGAATGTACAACTACATCATGTTGATGTAATGAAAAAACTGAGTCATATTATAAAAATATAAATAGAGCGAGCAAATGGGTTACAGATAATATTTTACCTGCCGATAGCCGCAAAACTTGTAAGCGATCTAGTAGAGTATTGAAACGAACTGTGATTAAAATTGAAAATTTAGGGGTCAGAAAACTTACAAAAATGATTTTTCCTTTGTCTTAGTTTCTTCATCTGTAAGTTTTGGTATTAGTACGCATATGCGCCTATTAATACGGATTATGCCTTTTAAATTGAAGCTTACATTATTGTCAACGTAAACAAATTTAAGAAACTGATAATTTTTCGGTGGCGTCGATTTTGAGAATTGAAAAAGTAGAAATACATTGCCAAGAGTAGAGAGCAAAAAGGTGGCAAAGCATATAGCGTGCAGCAAGACAGAACGGGCAAAGGACTGATGATTCAACAGGGGCAAGGAGTCACAGACTTCGCGTAGCATCTCATATTGCCTATCCGCAAAACTGAAGGCGTTTTAAAGACCGTACAATGCGCCGCGTCTCAGTTCTCATGCTGCGGGTAGGCAGAAGATGAGTGCACAAAAGGAGAGTCAATAGTTCACTCGAGCTAGAGGCCAAGGAGTGTTGTTTGAAGAAATTGTTTTGGAAAATGTTCAATCCTGCTCGTGGACAGTTTACAATGCATTGTTTTTTGTTGTTGTTTTTTTTAAAAAATAATTGTAAATTTGTTCCCTCGTTTACTTAAAATGATCACAGTTACAAAATTTTACATGCATCAAATGGAGGAGATCAAAAGGATCAAGTGACTTCTCCTCAAATCCATTATACAATTTTTTCATAATTAAAACGTGCTTTTATTTGTGACATTCGGTAATCAAACAACGTGGCGAATATCTGGGTATTCTTCAGCTTTCCTCGTGGAAGAGTACATTCTCTTTTAAAAAGAAAAGAAGGAATAAAGTGAGGTAAGTTTTTTTAACGGAAAATTGTGTGATACCAATCAATTGTTTCAATACTTGCGAACTCGGTTTAAAGGAATGACTCGGTTTTAAGGAGGGAATAAGTATTTGAAATGCTATACTTCGCACATTATTTTGCAAATATTCTGTGACCGTACTAAATCGGAGTTACTAAAATTAGGGCAATGACCTCATTTGATTACTCTGTCGTGTGGATCACCTCGAAAGCTTCGTTCTGGTCAAACCCACATTTTTTGGACATTTTTTGTGAAGATTTCTTGAAATTTTACTCCTCGCTTACTATCACTGAATCTGATCAAAAATTGAGTCTGATCCTGTCCTCAAAATCAGGTGCAGGTATGTAAACCGCAGTAAAACTACGGAAAAGAGTGCCACGGGTGCGAGAACAGGAGCCGATACGTGCGACGAAATAATTAAACCTGTAATTTGATATGAATTTGGTTTCAATATAAGGCGGCTGCTTTGTATGGAGCCGGAATAGAGGGAGCAGCGGGGGTGTGATGCACATTCCAAAATTTGATCTGGCCGCAAGGGCAACGCTCGTTCCATTCGCGTCGCATTTCCATCACCGCGCGTACCGTGCGCCCCCCCCCTCCCCCCCTACTATCGCCCCCAAGCGCGATGCCCTGACGTCAAATCGGTTGCAAATTATTCTTACCTATGCACGGGAAGATGTACCTTAAACTAGCAAAACGAAAACTTTAATAATTAATACCGA